ACCGTTTTGTTGATAAAAATGTTATTCTTTGGGAAAATGAGAAGTTTCTTTTAAGTGAGACTCGTTTTCAACCTAAGAAATTCCGGTTATCTCTCCCACTGGTCATTTCACGTCGGAGTGGAAGGTCGTGGTGCTTACCCAGAAGAGCCCACATATTCATGCAACAGGAGATGCTGTTGTGATTCTACCACATACGTATCTATATGCGGAGCTGATGCCTGGTAGGTAAATACTAAAGTAGTAGGTAAACACTAAACACTAAAGTATACAAAGTGATAATACTGAAGGAAAAATCTCAATATTTATTACACCAATAAAGACGTTCCCGTTCGATAAAATAAATCGATACGCGCCGTGCTAATTGAAAGCGATAAATTCAAACATGGTGCGGATTAAAATTTCTTAAAGCTCTAATTCCGTTCCGACGAGGAATTTCGTTTTTATTCTCGTCTCGGATAAGGTACAAAATCGTATCGATGTGTCTAGAAAGTGTTGTTTCGGGTCGTTAATCGTTCGATATTAATAACGTCACCGTTCCTTGATTGTGTACCTATTTAATATGTTTTTACAGTACGTCGACCGAATTTCTTAAAGAAAGTCAATGTGAGTTTAAGAGTGAAGTCACAATATATCTATAATATATATATATATATCTATTCTTTAGGTGGTTAAGTATTAATGTCGTTTTTTTATAGTCTGTATTACACTTTATATAATAGTCGGCATTTGTCTTTGATTAAAAACCGTAAGTTGTCAAAAAGATCATTACTATTGTCAGTTCCTATGTTAACAACTGTGGTATCTTTAACTGAGTATTAGAGCATAGCTCAACACTACATGGGGACCACATACTTTAATTACTTTTTTCTTTTTATTATTAATAATTATTATTTATTAATTGCTTTTTTCTTTCTTACACTTCTTACCCCATATAATACTTGGTTCGAAAAAATTCTCATATTTTTAAGAACAAAAAATATGCTTTATTTAACGCTAACTAGTGAGAAAATAAATACACTATTCATTTGAAATTTATTTTACGTACATGCTATAATTGATATCCATATAGGTGTATCTTGGATACTTCGCGAAATTATATAAACTATAATGTCGAAATGAGACGTAGAAAACATAAATATTTTCGTCTTTAACGGTAAAGAGTTACTCTCGATATTTAGGATATGCATGTGTGTTTAGGAAAAGATATTTTAAAAATTGACGTTTCACGCGCTGGTTATTTATTTCTATAAAATAATAATTACCATTAGATGCATTAGCCATAGCACCATTCACAAGCGCAGTATAAATTAAGAAATATATTACAAATCAAACTACAATGGTAATAATTGAAATGGTACCTATCTAAGTCGCTGAGGAAGACTTCATTTCTCGCTTTGCAAATGCACCAGTCTGTCATCATATTCAATCGGTACATGCTATGTATTCATTATTACAATTTGAAAGTTTCTAGTCAGACTGACAGCGGTTATGTCTTCACAAGGTATTAAGAAATCTAGTGGAACTGAGAACAGATCAATTCTCTTTTGGCAATGCTGCAGTAACGCCGAAAGCCATTAGTAACAGCCACACGTAGTTTTGACGTGGCGAGACTCCAAGAGACGCTTACGAGAGATGCCTAGGACGTCTAATTGTGAAAGTGACCGTTCGTACATGCCTTACACATTCGAAATGACCATCTTAAAACTTGTTACCCGAAAATGTTAATTTTGTAGAAATTAATCCGTTCAATTTACTTGCTAGGGATTCTTAACGAAATGATATCAATGAAACGCCTTTAGTAATATGTGAGTTTAGTTCTGTTGTACAGACACATAAAAGAGCATATACTATCGTTTGTATCTAGGAATGCTAGGTAAGAATGGCAATTGAAATGAGTAATAACCGACTCATCTGAAATTACTGTTTATCTAACAAGCGTTGTGGTTTCGACATCTTGATTGTGGGTTCGATTCCCAAACGAAAGTAAATAACCCACAGATACTCGCTCCAGATCTGGGTGTCTGTTCCTGAGGAATCAAGCAGGCGGCTGGACATAAATATGACGTAGACCTGGACGATAATGGCGTGATGATTTCCGGGTTCCGTGCTTCAATGAGTGACACTCATTTTGCTCTTCATCTGTGTTTTCTAAAGACGCCGTTTAAGAACAAATGAAATTCCTCCCATATTTTACGTCTACCTATCCGCGATGTTCAGCTTCTAAGATCAAAATTATTTATTGCCAGGGAAGAATCTTTCATAGAACTTTTAAAGGAAAAACATAACTAAACTATTAATATGTAATTATCGCATACGATACTAAAGTTTCTACGGAATCTACAGAACGCGAGTCTTACTCGCACTTGTCTGACTATATATTTATTGTTTCACAAATCAGACTACGATGTATTGCACATTGCTGCACAGTGGAAATTGTAATAAAAACAATATTGCAGCTTTTGTCCATCCCAATATACTGAATACAGCATATTTTACGATTTTTATTTTCTTCATACGAGTAACTGCGCATATACAAAACGTTGAAACTATAAGTTCTAACAAATTTCAACGTCAGCTCCAAAAGGATTCATCGTATTCGCGTCGCTTGATATTTTAATATCATCTTATTCAGGTATATACTTTACGTTGTTTTGTTTTTAAAGTTGTGTAAGTATAAAAGAATAGCTAGACTGATTGAATGGCATATTTATTACGTGAAATATTTTAGTATGTTTGTAGTAAAATTGTAGTAATTTTATATTCGCAGTTGTAATGCAATTTTTAAATTTATGAGAATATATTTTAATTTTTTTTATTGATTCAAGAATAATAGCCAACTCAGTCGAATTCGCGTGCGTGACTTGTTCAAAAGCTTTGGACTGTTATTGTTTATAATTCTACATACAGACTTATAATATTTGAATATAATACCGAGCCATTACTACACTACAACATTATGGGGCCATTAGTGTCGTTATTATTGCTTTGTTGGTTGATTGTCATAGACGAAATGATTCGTTTTTATGTGTCTAATAATTTCGTATAATTACTGACCGTTACCCGCGACGTCTAGCGTTTGAAATGTCTATGATTAATACAGAGAATGATGACTAGATTTATTTAATGATTTATAATGGAAAGGAATTGGTTTTAGCCAAATTCATTGTCTATAGTATATTCGTACTTACATTTTTTTTTAATCCAGTTATAGAATGTTCGATTTCCTTAAACCTTAATTATTCTTTATTGATAAATTTACAACCAAGAATCATGGTCCGTCCGGGGAGGTACCACGACGTCACAGAAGACCAGCGTAAAGTGGATGTGATACTTCAGCCTTTCGTCTCTTGAGCGAAGTAACCGGGGTCCAAATTATTAAAATTAATATATCCATAAATATGTCCATGGGCGGCGCTCATCATTTATTTATTTATTTAAACTTTTACCAAAAAATAAACATTGTGTATAGACGGAGTTAATGCCCAAGGCATTCTCTCCCAGTCAACCTATGGGCGACGCAGAGACAAAAAAGAGGCAGGTGTTAAAAGTTTCAAATTAAATTTTAAGAATTTACTGTCAGGTGTACCGCCGGTTCGCTTGACACAAGAGGTGGAAAAGGTATAACTGGCTCTCACCCATGGACATCGGCAAAACCAGTAGGAATCCAAAATCCAGCCTAAACAGAATATAGACCTTTTTAGACGTCTGCGGTGAAAAAAGGGGCTTTTATGTATTTTTTGATCGTATCATTCCCTCGTAACTAGCTTTCGTAATTTGATTAATTTTATATGGTTTATGAAATTGGTGTTTACTGCGCGAGTGCATATTGAAATTATAAAAATTAAAAATGGCGGCTTTAAAAAAAATGTGGTACTACCGTCGGTTTTTTTTAATTAATCATTGAACTGTTAACCCTATAAAACCTAATTATAATAACATAATTTTTAGCACGCCGCAGTTCCCTCATTGATTCTGCTCGGGGCAGCTTTGTTGGCGCTCAATTGTAGTGTACACCCCATGAGGTTAGCCATTGAACCGAGTGGGAGGCACATTTTGGTCGCCTCTTACTGCAGATAGGGTGTTCACTGAAGTCCAGAATGTCGCTGGTTAGGTTAGGGGCAGAATTAAAACATGTAAGTAAATTTTATCGCAATGAAAATGTGTCTTTCTCCAACCTTGAATGTATAACAGCAATGAAAAACATAGACAAAAGTTATACACTGGATATGACCAAAGTTACACAGATTATAAAAAAATAATATAATATTCCATTTTCACATAGTAAAAATTACCAATGATACGTGATTTTAGGAATGAACTCAGGGGAATATACTTGCTCAAACCATGAAGTATAATAGCAATCAAAAAACGTAGACAAGTATACATTGGATATGACCAAATATACACAGATTGTTAAAAATAATATTCCATTCACACAGAGTAAAAATTACCAATGATACATGAATGTAGGAGGCATCACCAAAGAGCTAAACCAGTGGCAGTAGTAGCTAGGATGTCGGATTTGAGTCCTTTCAAATGCAAATAGGGCGGCCAGAAGTTAGTTTTCTATTTCGGATACCGTCGTGTTACATGCAAAGTTAGATCGTCAGTAAAGTATCACTTCAATGGAGGGCTTTTTATTATTAGACTTTTTATTATTTGTTTAATACGTGTTTATTTTTTAACTAAAAACTAAACTAAAAACTATGAACTAAAACTGTTTCCCCTTAAGAATTAAAATACATTTTTTTTTAATTCGAGTATTCTTAAATAACGTTTCTATAGAAATGATGCTTCATATATTCAAACCAATTGTGCAATAGTTTATAGGCAGAGAAAAATAGACTCCTTTAACTAAAAAAAAAGGAAAATTGGTACTTATATTTTGTTAATTGATTGATTAAATGAATACGATACGAACTTTCGTAACCAATGTTTGTTTAAAATGTCATTTACATGCAAATAACACTTGTCTTTTGAAGTGCTAAAACAATACTTACTTTCTCGCTTGTGCAGTCCCATGTTGCTCCTCAGTTAGCACTAAGACGATCGCATAGTGTTGTGCCGCGAACGCTTTCTAGCACATTTCACTACTAGTACATCACTATTATAAGTTAACACTTTTAAATTTCACGAACACACCGCTGCAAATGTTCAAGTGCTACGTATACTAAACAGGATTATTACGAATGTTGTGAAACTATTCTATTTACAAACGTTAAAACTTGAAAAAGCTTAAACCTCATAAAGTAATATTTATTAATATATAATATAATATAATAATTCAATTATTATAATACAAAACACTATAAAAAAACTATGCGAGGGAAACCTGTTCACTATTCGTCATTTTGTTTGAGTAATGATTTTGAAGAAATTTTTTATTTTTTATTTTTGCTTTTTAAAAAATATTTAAAACTTTTAATCATCATCATAAAATCTCGTATTGAAATAATTTCAGCTAAATATACATGTTACGTAATATAAGTCGCAGCCAACTTAAGCGAGCCCAAGCACGACAGGTGACAAGCCTGTCACTAAATTACTCACACACACATACACAGGCAGACCCAAAATTACGACTAGCGTAAAATACTTATGATGATAAGTTGTCACAGTTAGGCTACTAAGTCTTATTGGTCCAGGAATACCGTTGGCAATATTAGAAATAAATAATCATCAATGCTTCAATCACCAGCCTTCGCCATTCCGTTATTCGATACAAAGAAAACAAAATATTGTGGCGTGCCTTGAAAGGATCCAAGTGACGTCATTTCACTTGCTATAATTATGGAGATCAAGCTGCCTCGAATGTAAATATGAATATGAAAAATTGCCTCATTAAATTATGTAGTAATCACGTAAATAGTGTGTTACGTACTAACACTTATTGTAATACCAATAACAAGCCATTAACCAACCAACGGCTCGTTACCTTCGGTGTGACGTGAAACGACCGCTTCAGTTGGCAACGGAACGCGTAACTATCGTTAACGAGTAGTGTTCTTACAACGATTTTCGGTTTAAAGAAGTTTATCCATACTAATATTATAAATGCGAAAGTAACTCTGTCTGTCTGTCTCGCTTTTACGCCAAAACTACTGAACCGATTTAAATGAAGTTTGGTACACAGATAGTTCTTGACTATCTGAACACAGATAGTCAAGAGGCTATTTTTTAATCTGATTTAAAAAAAAAGATATTTATTTAAGGGCTTCAACGCGAGCGAAGCCGCGGGCGAAAAGCTAGTTTCTTATAAGAACTATAATTAGTTTGTAAAAAATAAGATAAGAATTTAAATTTCACTATCAAATATTGTGGTTACACTTCTGGCACATGCATTTTTAAATAGTATTAAAATTATTTTAGGTAGTATTAAAATTTAAATTTCGCTTTTGTTACCGCAAAGCGAAATTAGATTTGCCGTAAACTAATGTATTTGTATCACAAAGCGATATTATCGCTTTTTACACAGTACAGTTTACTAATAATCGCAGCGTTCGTAAATCTATGAATTTTTATTATTTATTATTTTATATTTTACACATATTTTATTATTATAAAACATTAGCGGAATTAATTATATATCAGACTAGCTGTGCCCGCGACTTCGTCCGTGTGGAATTTAAAATAAATTAAATTTCTAAATTAAAAGTAGCATAAAGTAAGTCACTCTTTATTACAACAGCTATCTGTCAGTGTAAGTACCGTCAAAATCGCTCCAGTCGTTTCAGACACTAGCCCGAACAAACAGATAGACAGACAAAAATTGTAAAAATGTTATTTTGGTTTATGTACCCTGTATAAATCCATAATATGCATTTAGTAAAAAGCGGTTATTTCAATATTACAAACAGACACCTCAATTTTATTTGTGTGTATAGATTAAAGTACCGTATGGACAAACGGAAGGATTGGAATAATCATTAAAGGGGTTCTAGTCCTCTCCTTTTCAGTTTCTCATTAGGATTCAACGTATAAAAATACGTTTATTATCTAAATTAGATAAAAAAAAATTAAAATCTCAGATCCTCCTATTAATACTTCCGTCTTATATCATTTACGTAACCTTGATATTCGTCCACCTCAATTTTAAAACATATTTAAATTTATTCAAATTCAAGTTAACGAAAGAATAAAACATGATTAAAGAATAAAACATGAACAATGCATTCCAACTTATTGCGTGACCTTTAAAATATGAGAGATGAATCCTTTTTTAAAATAAATCATTTTACTAGAGTTTATAAACGTAATCCTTTGTTGCGCCTAGGGTAACGCACTAATTATTGAACAATACTAGTGAATGGATAAGCGTATACTTTATTCCAAATAATAAGCTTTTGTTAATAATGTGATTGTAAAGCATTCGCGATATTAAATATTACGGTTTTAATCCAATAGATGGCAGTGTAATAATAACAAATATTCCCGCCAAATTTTCCGCAGCTTGTAGGTTGTTGCTCGTTAAATTTAATTAAAAAATAAGGTACGCGAAATTATTTTAGCTAAATTTTATCATTACCGCTTTTAAAATCACCATTATTTATTTACGGAATAGATTGGTTAACTATATTTTTGAATTAAAAACATTTTTAGTAATTTTAATCATCATTGTTAAAGTTGCTAAATGTCCGAAATCAGTGTTCGGACAGCTGTCCATTAACTTTTATTATAACTGAGTAAATACGTTTGATTTTGTTTTATATGCTCTAGATTTATACATACATGTTTATAGTCTGTAAAGCTCAAATTTTATTCTCATGTGTCGGCGATTATAGGTATTAAATAGTCTTTGGATTATAAAATTTAATGTATCGACAGTTTTCCCCGAATTAGAATTGTTAGCTACAAAATCAAAATTTCTTTTCGTCTTTATTCAACATAGGAGTATTCTCGCTTATAGATAGTCAAAATACTACCATCGCGGCCGATTCGGAAAAGAAAGCCACTGTACTGAGAAGAACCGGTGAAAGAAACAAATGTTTCGATATTTTTTTGTGAGTACATACATTATTACAATCACATCGCCTTTTATTTTAGTTACGTGTTTTTATTTAATAATGTAATGTAAAGGAAAAGCTTACATATTATGTTCAAATGCTAGACAATTGCGATATTTTCCTCTTAAAACATAATTTTGGTCCTTCGAACCAGATAAGTATTTAACCTTTATAACTATAACTGAGCATTTACTTGCTTTTTATGTGAGAAAGTGGCAAACGAGCTGGCGGTTCATCTGATGTTAAATGATAACCGCCTGCCCAAGAACATTTGCAACACCCGTAGGGTAGAAATATTTATAATTTTAATAAGAATACTGATCTACATAATGTAAACACTAGGAACAAACACAAGCTTGTAACGCCAGTTACTAGACTCCATAGAATAAGTAACTCGTTCATGGGGCGGTGTATACGCTTTTACAACAAAATCCCAGTAAATGCGCAAAACCTGCCTACTAACGGGTTTAAGAAATTTATTAAAGAAAAACTTTATAAAAAGGGTTGTTATAATACAAATGAATACATTAATGACAATAACCCTTGGGAATGAGTTGATCGCTCCCAAGCTATTTCTAAAAGGAAAAAAAAATCAGTTGTATATTTTAATTTTTTTTTAAGAAAAAAAATGAATTACAAAAAAGAGGATACCTAAGGAGTTTCTTTTGCCTGTTTCTTCTCCGCTAGAGAAGCCTCATTACGAAACGGTGGTAGATTAAAAAAAATATGACTATCAATAGATGAAATGTAAGTTTCTTATGTCGATGAATAAATGATTTTGATTTGTTTTGATTTGCGTTTTGCCACTTCTTAATGAAGTGGGCGCCGGCTACCTCTCTCACCAGACGAAACGCAGAAGTGTAACACTTCTACTTGACGCCGGTCTTCTGTGAGGTCGTGGTACTAACCCTGCACATTCGTGCAACGGCAAACACTGTTGCGCGGCCCTACCACCGAACTTACTTGCTTTAACTGTATAATTAGTGTTGAAGAGGTTGAAATGCTTTAAAAAAATAAATATTTCCAGCAGCTATATCCTGACAGCGTTTATGTTAGGACACATTAAAAATTATTGTGCCTAATAATTTCTTGTATTTACGCGATTACACATTATAAATGAAACTAATTTTACAGATTTATCGCGTTTATTTTCAGTTTTAATTCCCGTGACTATGAACGCTGTAAAGGGTTCGAAACGTCGGGAATTAAAACTAAAAATAAACGCGATAAATCCGTAAAATTAGTTTCATTTATAATTATTGTGCCGTTAAGATTCGTGTGACATTGCCTTAATAACCTAAATACAGTACGATATTAATCAGCCCCAATTAACATTTGTATTACTGAAACATTAAGCATACGCAGATTTAGTGCGAAACGGTCTGGAACCATTTGTGAGGAAGCTAAAATAGCTGCGCCATAAAACATGGCGTTATTGGCGACTGTGTTATTGTGATAGGGCATTACCCTCGCCCAATTGTTTGACCCGGTTCGAAGACGAGTTGGTACCATGCGAATGAACTGTTCTGCAAATTACTGCTCCACGATGTAATTGGCCAAATACGAAAACTAAAGAAAAACTTTTGCGTGCTTTGTAATGTCCAAGGGGTAGATTGCAAAAATTTTGTAGAATGTGTCTTATGAGATTCAGGTGTGTAGTAAATAGAGGACGTTTCTTAGTTGGTTTATGAGTTCAATTGACAAAGGATAGTAGAAAATTATAGGAAAAATAATTAAAAAGATAGGTTATGTGCTTTATAATCTGTAAACCTCATGTCTACAAAATTTTTTTGATATTGAGCATCATAATGAACACATATTTAGAATGTGGATTGGACGAAACGTCGAAATTGATTGCGCTTCGGAACGAGTTTTGTGAAGCAATTCGTTACCGTTCTTTGTTTCACTGTGACAATTTTCTCTCACAGTGAAACAAGAATATTTTATTTCATTGTATATTATTTATTACATTATATTATTGGTGATCTAAGGACGCACTGCTGTATTACCATTAATTTT